CAGCTTATGTCGAACTCTTTTGTTTTGTCACCGTCTTAGAATGCTTTTTCTTTTTTTCTGAAGACATAACTTCATCTTTCGCAAGCATTTATTTTACACTTTGAAGTAATCTTTAGAGTATATCCATTGGAAATATATTTTATTGGAGCATTAACAATGCAGTTGAGGCTTTGAAAAATGTGGGAGCCGTGGGCGCATGAGGCTTGCCAGGTTACAGTTTTCTTTTAGTAGAGAATAATAGGATTTTTTAGTAGTCTTGAGTAGAAACAACTGTCATTAATCTTTACCTTGGCAAAAACAAGGTATTGCACATGGAATATGCCATAGAAGTGGAATGTAAGTATTATTTTGAATAAAAATAATCATTAATGGTGCTCATTAGCAGATACCAAAGATGGGAAACAGATTCCATACAGAGCTGTCCTGTATGCTTATACTCTTGAAAAAGCAGACATCAGTTGATATATAGGTAATTAATGGATTTAATGACTTTTTGCATGCTTACTTGAAAATTCACAGGGGAAGTCTGTAGTTACAGTTAATGGTAGCATCACAGAGGATTATTTTTGCCTAGTGATTTGTATTTTATTCCTAGGTGCGTATGTACAGATCATTAAACTCCTATTCATGTTGCAAATATTTGTGTAAGAATTAAGTTCAAAATCCTGAATGACCAAGCAAATTTTATAGTTTGAAGTAATCTTCCACAGGCAGTTGGCTGTATGACTAATAGAATTACGTATGCGTAAAATTGCTTTTACTGTAGAAGCCAAAATGCAGAATAATAGCTTGTCAAACTGTCATTTGCAAGTGAGATCATAGATTTCGTTGTCCAAATTAGGTTGCATTCTCCTTCTTTTGTCAGGTCACATTCTAATAACCATATTGTGCATTAAACCCTGTGATTATCTGAACACTTGACAGATGGTAGGCTGTTAATTTATATGTAAGAGACAGTGATTGCCTGTGCAGTAATGGTATTCAACAAAATATAAAATGTCAAAATCCACTTTTTGTTATGTTTTTATTTGACTTATTTCAGAAAGGTAATTCTAGCAGAGTAATTTTTTTTGTAGCTAAACATATGCTTCATTTACTAGTACTAGCGGGTTTGGGAGTTTGAAATCCTACTTTTTATACTGAGAGTTGTTTACATGTTGGTCAAGAGTACAAGAAAATTGTAGAGTACAGTGAAAGTGACAAATGTTGTTACGTTTATTAATCCGAGGATTTTAATATTATATTACTTGATTTTAAGAAAGTCAGATTAATTTCAGATCACTTAAGTAGTATGGTACTAATAAATTGGATTTACGCTAACATGTATACCAGAAGTTTGTTAAATTACTGAAATAAGTAGTTAGTTTATCCTAACATCTTTTTCAATTACTGTTTAAACTTGCTTGAAAGTAGTTGCAGAAAAGGTCTCCAGGTATCCAGGCACACTCCATGTGTGTGTTGGGGGAGAGGCGGTGGGGGTTAAAGGTTGTAAATTGGTACTAGATGATTTTTATTGAGCATATGAGTTATACAAAGTTATTTGTTGTCTTCCACACTTGTGGGGAGGGAGGTGGGTAAGGAAAGGAAGTTATCATCAGCATAGTTAATATATATGATATAAGCACTTACTATAAAAAATAGTTCTGAAGGATAATGTTCTTCAGGAAAAGACATATGCACAAAAAATTCAGAAGTGAAATTTCTTGCACTTCTAAGATGAACACTTTTATCTAAATGTTTTAACCTCTTAAACATTATGAAGATACATTCAGTCATGGATACTTGTGACGTTTTGAAGGAACTGCAGAGCAGTGTAATTTGTCATAATCTGTACATTATGTTATAATGATATTTCCTGTAAATTTTACCAAAATAGAAAAGAGGATGCTTTTCCATGTATTTGGAAATGTTCCGTATGTATGTATGCCAAGTACGTACCATGAAAGAGAAATTTGAACTGAAGTAACAGCATTGTTGCAGCCATTCTGTTTTTCTGCAGTTTTACCTTTAGATTTATATGGCATAAATTATTTATAAACTGCAACTTTTAAGATGCTATTGCCATTTCCTATAAAAGTCCCATTAAAGTATAATAAAAATATATTTTAATATATGTTATATAGAAAATATATTTGCTAAGATGAGCTTTGTGATACTAAATAGTAGAGCAAATATCTAACAGGCCTATCTATAAAGCCAAGCTGCTGCTTAGTATTTAAGAACTTATACTCCTCATTGTAGTAAAGCTGTATCTGCTGCTCTGGTAATTTATTTATTAATGTTCTATTGTGGTCTTAGTGATTGGGTCTAAGGGTGTGGGAACAAAGAATTCATATATCTGCCATTTTTAGATACAAATCCTGCAGTTGAACATCTGTGAGTTAGAAGAATTTCCTAATGCTTTTGTGGCCTCAGTTATTTAGTCTCAGGCTTTCTGTTATAGCAGCTGAAACATAAGCAGTAAAACACTTTCTAGAAGACATCACAAAAATGGTTGAAAGTGTTCCCAAATGAGAATACATGCATTCAACAGCTGATTTGAAATACCTTAAAGAAAACTTGCTGAAAAGCACTAGGAAAAGAAAAACACAACAGTGTATGCTGTAGTGTAAAGGATAACTCTATGCAAAGCTAGAGCCTTAAACTGAAAATGTGATATTAGCAATGTATGTTAAATATTCCTATTTTTACCAGAAGCGTTGCATCTGTGGTTTTTGTACCAATTTTCTGCAAGATTGAAGACCTTCGAGAGCTTTATTTAAACCATTGGAGTGTTGTTGCTCTTAATTTGGTTAACAAATTTTTCCACATACATGTAGCAAAGTATTGCCATGAGCAATATTATTGTTGTCATTGAAACTTTGAATAGATGGAATTATTATAAGACTTAAATTGTTAGCAGAGGCTAAATCATGAAGTTCCCATTTCATTTTGGAAAGAATTTTTATTTATTTATTTTTTTCCCAAATTAAATAGTGAATCATTCTATGTGTTCCCTTCTTTAGGTGAAGCCACCTTCCATTAGATTACCTCTGGTAAAGACATCAAATTAAGTATTAAAGATGCACTGAATGATCTATGTGCAATATTTGTATTAGCAACTCTATTCAGGGAGGAAAGGAAGACATATTGCATTATAGACATTTTTCCAGGCCTTAACTATGCTAGAGATTGTGAAGGCTGAGCAGAACACAGAAGTTGTTGAGATGTAAACTGTTATGCAGCAGCAGCTTGTTGTTACACCGTAAAGGAGATAAAGATCATTGTAGTTACTGGGATTATAAAAAGAAACAAACCAAATTGAAAGTAAGTGTAGGCATTAATGACTTCAGAAGTACAAGAGCATGCTTCTATTTCCCTCTAATAGAAATAAAGGGAGCAAGCAGCCTAACTGGAATGATGTACAGTTTATTTTGAGGGGTGGTGGGGTGGAGTTGAAGAAAAACCTTGGAACTTTCTTTTAGCATTTTGCATAGTTTTTATGATATAAAACTAATCTCTATCTGAGATACCTTACTGCTGAAAGTTAAGAATTAGCCAGCCATGATCATTGGAAAAAAGAATGCTGGTCCTGGTAATGTTTCCTGGATTTTCCAAAATCCCCATTCTTTCTGAGTGACTTTGGTAACCTCTTGTGGTTATTGCTAGTTATCTCATGCATTCAGGTTTTATCTCTAACCTAATCTTTCTTGGTATGAACTGCATACTGCAGTATGCTCAACATGCTATTTACTTGGCTATGTCTAAAATCTCTAGAGAGCTTTAACAACTTTCCTTTATTTTGCCATTAAAAAATATTAATAAAAGTTAGTAAGCAGTAGAAAGTGCAAAAAACATTGATATTAATCAAGACAGTACCTTCATTCATTGCACTTAGTGAATTAGGTAAAAGTGACCCTTTTTTTAACCTGTAAGAGCTGGTGTTTTCAAAATAGTGCTAAACTTCATGAAGACAGAACAACAGCATAGCTGAATATAGGGAGCAATACTATTACAGATAGAGCAGCTCCAGGGGATCTGGCCTGTCTCTGCTGCTATGTATACTAGAGCTCACACACTAGAAGTCACACACTGCAGCAGCTTTTCCCCTCCTCTCACTGTGGAGGCAGCCAAGGCCAATTACTCAACTCACCTGCTAACATTATGTGCTTAGGAAGAGGAGAAAATGTTAGTTGGAAGATGAGACGTGACAGATGAGACTACCAAAACAGCCATATAGCAAACAAGATCAGAACAACGATAGGGAATTTGTAATTACTGTTTTTCACCCTGTACTAAATAGGCAACAGCATAGGGAAGAAAAGCTTTTCTCATTTGAACTAGAAATAAAGAGAGAAGAAAACAACAAAAAAACACAAGATCCTTATAAAACAAACATTCTCATATTATGGGGTGTGCACGGATATACCCAGCTCTGTTTAAAACAAGCAAACAAAAAAAAAACCACACCACAACAGATACAGTTCAGTACTAGCAAAAGCCCAATTTATTTTATCTCTGCTCTTCAAAAAGATTTAGAAAATGTCATTGTTAGTCATTTTATCATAAAGCTCAGACAATTTTCCCTCTCTATAATGAATTTATAGATTAGTTTACAAAAACATTAAGCATAGGTGTATAAAAGTTTACCATTTTGCATTTAATGAAGGCTACAGCTCCAGTCATGCAAAGATTTATGCAAATACTTAACTTGATACAGGTGAAGTATTCCATGGTGAAGGCTGTTACGCAGAGGCGGTAACAGCTGGTATAAGGCACCATTAATTTGAAGCACATGGTTGTTGTAGTATTTAGAAAGGATTTTCATTTGTGTTTAACATCAGTTTTAGGCATGAAATACATTCTTATTAACACAAAATAGCTCCTAAGTTATTCAATGTGCTGCCAAACTAGAGGAATGAATCTTTTTTCTTCATTTTTACTTTTGAGATTTGTCACTGATATGCTTGATTCTTATCATCCAAGAATAAACATAAATAGGAATCAGATGTTTCTTAGTACTTACTTTCATTATTTAGTCCTTGCTCTAGGGTCTTTCCCTTCAGCTCTCAGTATGTTGAAGTGCTTGTGGGAATGCACACCAGCAAAGTGAGGAAGGATGATGAAAAAGAGGAACAATAAAACTCTTTTGCTAAAACTTACTTTTTGTTCTTCTCCATGCTAAATTCAGGTAATAGAATATTCTCCATTTTATATTATGGTTTTTGGTAAGGAATTATATTCAAAGGAACCTAGAGAAATATCTTCTAAACATGTTTGTTCATAAAATACCTGTTTTCAAGAGCCATTTGAGCAATCACACCTTTGGAGAAGCTTCTTATTCTGCCTTTAAGTTACAGGACTAGCTAGGCTATTTTCTCTAGACCCTTCTAATCTATAAAGTGTCTTGGTTTTCCTCCAAAACTTTCAGTTTTGTAGATCTGTTTTTGAGTAGACTTTTGTTTTACAATTCCTGCCACAAAATCATCTCAGTCTTATGTAGAAGAACCACAGCAAATTTGAGTATTAATAAAACAAATCCCTATATTATATGTGAAGATTTTGAAGAAAAGAATTCTTAAGCTATTGACGCTTCACTGGCATGTGTTACAAAATAAGATTAACTGAAAAAAAAAAAAAATTAAAAATAATTCAGAGCCAGCATTAATCAATAGTCTCTTCTGATGCTTGCTCCCTTGGTATTGGCTTTTCCAAGCCCAAGTGCTCAGATGAGCTATGCAACTACTTTGTTTCAGGAAATCTGTTTCTTGCCTGTCTCTTCTGCCTTCAGATGGCACATAAGAGAGCGCTTAAATGGCAGTTTTATTCAAGACATTATTTAATGTCTCAAATTTAGTTTTTTGTTAGAAAGCAATTCAAGTGAGATTTTTAGGACCAGACTCAAACTCCTAGAGGTTTTTAAAGTGATTTGGTTCTTGTTTTGTAAACTGTTTTCTGTATTTAGAGAACCTACTTATGAGTTTTGGTGTTTGAGTTTAACTGAGCCCAGATTTCAAGCATGTCTCAGTTTTATGTATTCATGATGTAAGCATTGTATTGTATCAAGTTCTGTATACCTGAGAATGTTAGAAAATTTAGATTTTTTTTTGTTTGTTTGTTTTTTTAAGTGTTTGTATAGTTCAGTGTTTTACCTGATTGTGTTGAAAAACAGTAGTAGTCTGCTCGGACAGACCAGCTACCCCCTAAAGTATAGTGGCAAATGGCAAAGCACCTCTCCTCTCACTGGAGTTGTTGGTCCAAAGCAAGGATAAAACTTCTCCAAACCTTAAATCGAATAAATTATATTAGATAGCGATTCTTTTGGTTGGTAGGAAATGCTTTGATCTGTCATAATGTGTTTTTTTTTTTTTTTTAAATGCAAGTCTAAATTTTATAACTTTGTGCAACGGCTGGATTACAGACGACAGAATCGGCGAAGTATTTATTTTGATAAAAGAAAATTGTTTTCATTAAAATCTGTTGGGACTAACTTTTACTTGAAGTTGTGGTACAATAAATTTTTGAAGGCGTATGTAAATGAACTCATTAGTGCACGGTCATATTGAACTCCTATTTTAGCCCTGGGATAATTTGAATTTTTCGAAGCACAGTATGCCATTGCTGATACTTTTTTTTTTTTTTTTAAGTAATTTTTCTTTAAATGTAATATTATTTATCTTATTTAAATCTTGTATAGAAAGCAACATAAGGAAGATTTTATTTTTTTTTCTAAGTAAGGCTAGCGCAGAGAGAAAAACATTCTATATGGACATGCAGAGGATGGAAAGTATATGTCCCAGGTGCTGGTACCATAGTATTTTTTGACTGAACCCAAGGAACTACTTGGGTATCTAAAGGTAACCTGTGCATAAGTATTTGTGGAATTGGCAGCGAAGTGGCAAATATGATATTTTATGTGATGCTGCACTATTATAATAAATTTGCTCATAATATGTCTGAGTTCCTTACCTTCATTTTAAATGTTATTTTTCTGTTGCTGCTTCAACAATAAAATCTTAGTATACTTGGAAATCTGTACTTGGTATATAATAAGTTCATTTTGTTCATTTTTATTTATTTAATGGATATGGTTTAAGAGAAATGGTTGTACAGAAATAACCGTACTTACTTTTACTATAACTCTGCTATAGTTTTTATTTATTTATTTTTATTTATTTTTAAAGTAAAGCTTGGGGGAAGAACATGTATGCAGTTTTACGTCCTGAGCTACTCACACAAATGGCATCCAGAACCTCGCTGTTTTTTAGGAACTTTTGGTTTTTGCAGCTGTAGGATATTGAATTTGCTTGTACAATATTAATGTTCTGGAGTAGATATCCAGTAAAAGAATGAATGTCTTCTACAAAAGTGTTTCTTTAATGTTTTAAGATATCAATGTAAATGGGACTGTCTCTTCCAGCTTTTAATTTTTTTTTACTTGTTCAGCTGTATTCGTCCTCTTTAGAAATGCATGTGTGAGATACTGAGATAGTCATCAGCTGTGATTTGATAGGATTAAATGTATATAATCACAGCTAGCAGGAAGCTTTGCTGTCTTCTTGTCTTCTGTATAGAAAATTAGTGTGCAGGGGTTTGAACTGAGCTTGGAGATGGCTTGTACCTATTTTTTTTTTTATTTTTTTGGATCTACCCTTGGCTATTTTTGCTATTTTCTTGTTGGCACTTACAGGGATTACTTTAAGGAAACAATGGAGAGGAGGACTACAGTTGTGACTAGTGTTATGAATTCATTCTAATCTAATATCAGAAAATAAAAATCTACAAGTGGAAAACAAATTCAGGATTTGAAATCACTGTAAATATGCTAAATCTGTAATGCATACTAACTTCTAAAATCTGTCTTGCAGTTTGAATGCAGGTACTGGAATAAGTTGGAAGTCCTGGAATTCCTGTTTTTATTTTCATTAAAAAAAAAAAAAAAAGAGTGAAGAAACAGTTGAAATATGTAGTGCAATCCATCTCATTAAAACTTATCTCAATTTTTTGCAAAAGATTTTGAATTTTCTGGCATACCAGTGATATTTTAACCCTGCAAAGAATTATGTAAGAACAATTTGCAGGGGATGTTGGTAAACTGTAGCAATTTCTACCTTGTGTCCTTTGAACTTCTTTTACTTCAACCTCTTTTATTTAAATTGCTTGTTAGATTTACACTGCTATCTGGAAGTGCAGTGGCATCATACAAATGAAGAGGGCCAGTCTGGATACTTCATCTCTTTTTAGGGTATACAGGCTTAGATTTATAAAAGCAAAGAGAGAAACCTTTGTAGCAAGTAATACCTGAAATGGCTTGAAATGTCTGTTCTCTTTGCAAAACAGGAATCAAGATTCCTTCAGCAACACAGAATTAAACCACAACCAGGAACTGAATTCAGTATTCATGTTTCATGTAACCTTGACATAGAGGCCAAATCCATCTATTTCTATGCTGTTTAATATGTGGTAATAGACATTTTAGGTTATTAATTTACCAAAGTATAAATGAAATGAAGAGTACAGTGATTAAAAAAAAGATAGCTGAAATGAAGTTCTGGAAATAGAAATAGATGTGCTTTTTGAGATGAAACATTCACATAAATTTTTGAATCTTCCTCTTTTGCTTAGATCTTTTTTTTAAATTTCATTTTATTTTTTTGCATTTGCAGTAGAAATAATGGTGATGATACTATATCTGGGGTATTCTGTATAGTCTACCTGGGAGAAAGTTCTAACTGCAAAACAGAATGAAGTGGCATCAGTCTTATAACTAAAACATATTTTAAATGCTTTTCAATATACCCTTTAAAATTGTTTTTAAGTGTGTACATGTTAAAATTACTACATGTAGTCACAAAACTTCAATAAAGAGGTAGGTGTCTGAATTACAGCAGTTTTTCTGTGCAGTTAGGCTACATGGGGACACAGTTACAAGATGGACTCAGTCCTGGGTTAAAGCATTTTACTGCCCTAATTAGTTTTTTGAAGCCCCATAGCCATTATAACAATTCTCTACATTTTATCTTCAAGAAGCAACTTGCTGCTTTTCTGAACCTAGACTTCTCATATGTAACAATGACTTTAAGATAGCATTTGTTATTTGATTAATACCAGATTCAATATTCTGTCTTGCTTGGACTTCCCAGAAAACTCATCCTCTTTTTTGATTTGGTTTAGTTCAGGTGTAAGCAAAATGCAACTGTAAAATGAACCCTCAGTAAGTTCGCAGATGACACCAAGCTAGGTGCGTGTGTCGATCTGCTCGAGGGTAGGAAGGCTCTGCAGGAGGATCTGGATAGGCTGCACCGATGGGCTGAGGTCAACTGTATGAAGTTCAACAAGGCCAAGTGCCGGGTCCTGCACCTGGGGCGCAATAACCCAAGCAGAACTACAGGCTGGGAGAGGAATGGTTGGAGAGCTGCCAGGCAGAGAAGGACCTGGGAGTGATGGTGGACAGTCGGCTGAATATGAGCCAGCAGTGTGCTCAGGTGGCCAAGAAGGCCAACGGCATCCTGGCTTGTATCAGAAACACTGTGACCAGCAGGGCTAGGGAGGTGATCGTCCCCCTGTACTCGGCTCTGGTGAGGCCGCACCTCGAGTACTGTGTTCAGTTTTGGGCCCTCGCTACAAGAAGGACATCGAGGTGCTTGAGCGGGTCCAAAGAAGGGCGATGAAGCTGGTGAGGGGCCTGGAGAGCAAGTCCTATGAGGAATCCTCTCCCATTTCCCAGCTCAGCATTCTTTTGAAGGCATGATTGTGTGGTCATCCGCAAGTTTGTCTCTGCATTACTTTTTCAGTATACTATTAAATGGGAGAGCTGTAAATCTGTCTTGGAAAACACCTAGAACATTAGTTAGTTAAATCAAGTAACTGCCTCCAGCAAACTGTATTGCCATTTTTCTTATTAGTTACCTTTTTTGTTAAATTACAATTTGTGAAATTTGAGAGGAATCTTTCACTAAGAACCATGGGACGTGTCTTCATTTAGATAACACTTTTTACATGAACAAGAGATTATATAAATAGATGTTAAAGAGAGTGGATTCAGTTAGCTATCCAGGAGGTCCTTTATGATATTGAGTTGTGTAAATTGGTCCCTCCCTCCCCTTTCATTGTTAACTTGTTTTGGCATCCTTTCCTAAACCAAATACATTACATAATCATACTCTGTTTCTGTAAGTCCTCTGTTCAAAC